TCCCAGTGCGGATTAACGTAAATCTCCATTGAGCAAATTCATAGTTCAGAAGGAGTTTGTTCTAAGTTTATAATAATGAAAAATGACTAAAGTATGCTTTCTAAAGAATTTGTTTATTTTCAAAATCCTAAAATCCTACCATCTTCATGTGTTTTGTATCAGACAAATCTGTTACCGACTGAAAATTTCCTTATTGAAGTAACTATCCAAATGCCCTAGAAATTGATTTTTTTTTTATGTCTGAGAGTACGAAAACCTTTATGTGAACATTGAACATAAGACAGAACTTTTATTGGAAGTTTAGTCGAATGGCATGTAATAATCTTTATTTATTCAATTAGAATTTTCAAATAAAAAAATATCCACTTGACTCTTCGACTCACAAACTGTAATCAACCACTTTGTTGGTGTTCTAAAATGGCTTGTTTATCGATTTCACAAAAATATATTTAATAAACCTTCATATCTGTAACCATGTGACATGGTTAATTGAACAAATAGAAAGTGAAACTAATATCCCTTCCAACGAGAAATCAGAACATCTGAACATCAGAAGCCCATTTGAAAGATTCCAAGTCCAAAAAAAAGCTAAAATAATAATATTTATTAAGTGAAAAATACGATTGGGGGTTGATGCTCAGATTGACTTCAAGCTGCTTAAAAAAATGATTATTTATCGTTTTCAATAAATATAGAAAATAATGTTAAATACATTCCCTTGATTTTAAAAATCTGAAAAATGTGTATATTTAAAAAAAAACTGTAATCTGTACATACAGATATCTGTTTCAAAATATTGAAGTAAAAAAAAATCTGTGTGATTACAGATAAATCTGCCGAGCAGATCTCTTCGGAATACATCGTTATTGCAACCGAGTTTTCACCGAACCATGTTCGGGAACAACGAACAAATTTCAGCGTGTATTTGTGCGTTTACGGCTTCGTTTTTTGAGTTCAATAAACCAACTAGACGTTTTGCGAGTCGCACTAGGCCTGTGTTAAATTAGCTTTAATTTTTATTTATTAAGACTGAATTGTCAGATGAATTATTTTAAATACAGATACAAATTATATTAATTCAGTTCACTTGAACTGTTCTAAGGTAAATTTTGACCAAAAGAATCATTTGTTCAATGATTTTTTGGAAAGATACACCATTTTTAAACACAAATTGGATCCCAATTATCGCTCCTTTTTGGTGTTTACAAATTAACAACAGAAATAAATCTATTTTAAAAACAATTTAACCATAAGAGTGGTTTAAGAGGTGCAACAAAATTGATACAATTGAGATAAGAATAAACTGAGTGAATTTAAATAAGGAAACCAATATGTTTTGCTGTTCACAATCAACCCTCCATGTTAAGAAATTAAAGTAAAATGTAGAACAAGATTAGACTATTTGTAGGAACTGAAATTCCATCGACATTGAGATAAAAGTGGTAACAAATCAAATTATGGAACATTGCGAGGGTTTACTTTGATGAAGACCATTTAACTGTCTGTGCAGTCATTCTGTATTCTGATAAAAATATCTTTAACTAGCCACTAGCACTACACCACGCCACCTCAGTGATCGGAGATTCTGCAGTCATCAGTGACCAGAAATCGTGCAGTCATGCGCTCACTTTGCCACGCAATGTGTGATATCGGGCTATGATGAATGCTTTCGACGACAAAAGGGAGAATCGTCGACCTCCATTGCCGAAATCCAAATACCGGTAGAGGAAACCCCATCGGAGGTCAACTAGCTCCTCCGGCATAACGAGCTTAAACAGGCTTTCCCAAAAGCCATGGGAAAATCCTCCGGTTCTGACAAGGTACACACTTAGAAATAACTAGTTTTACACGTGACGGAATCCCTCATTGACATAAAGGATCAGATGTAAACAAATATTTCATGTAAAATTATGTGCTCCGAGACTGAAAAGTTGTTACTCGATGAAAAGTAGTTTGATTGAGTTGAATTTCGCGTATGTTATAACTCCATTTTATGTCAAAATTGACGCTCGTATATGTCAGTCTCAGAGCACCTAAATTTACACGATTTTTTCCAAGTGTGTAGGCTACCCTCTGTTGCGGATCGTTCCCGCCGAATCAATTGATCAATCAAACGTGAATGGGGGATCGAGTCGCTCCCACAAGCCTGGTTGTTCGTATCCAGTAGCAGGGTTGCTCTGGCCAGGAAGCCAAATCTCCAGCACCTGTTGTACGGCAATGATCACCGAGAGAATGGGTAATTCCGATTCGCGGAATTCTCTTGACTATCGGCGAAATACATGTTTTTCGCACCCGGAGCACGGGACCAATACTTATTTCGCAACTCTGGGCAGGTACTTCCCGATGCCTTTGCCGTACGAAAACACGGTGAACTAGCAGCTCTGAATATTTCCAAAGCTTACAACCTACCCACGAGTTTGAAGATTCATTTTATGCTGAGAAATATGTTATTCTAATTCCTCCTCGCTTCACAAATTTTATTTTACGCATGTGTCCTTGATAGATTTTTTTTTTCGTGTTATGTACAAACGTCTAGTGTAGGCCTGCGAAACCCTTCAAACCTTCCTTTTTTGGCTGTATCTATGTTCGATGAACATGTTTAAAGCCGCATTTTGTTTCTTTCTAATTCATGCTGGGATGACATTCATAATGATGATTATAATTTGACTGGACCGATGCCATTGCTGAGATCCAGAGACTCAGTTAGTGAACCAGTGAATGCGATGCGAATCATTAACCCAGTGAAAGAGATATTAAAATGCTCTGCTTTTCGGTTCACGATGCAATATCATAATAATTACCAAGCTCTTGTTAAAACACTTTGAAGTAGGTCATTCGCATGAAAAACAGTCCAGTTCGATTGCAATAAAATGTGCTTCCCTGGGATGTATCGCATCGGATGGGGCGCAACCCAGCAATGAGAGTGCATCTATGACGCTGCTGCAGCTCCCTTTCCGTGATCAGGTGAAACGAGCCAGCAAAATAGAAAATTAATTACACTCGAGTGCCGTTTGGAATAATACGAACATAAATTCCAATTTCAAAATAAGAACTGAAGCGCTAACGTGAAGTGAAGCGAATAGAAATTTACTTCCACTGTCTGTGTGAACCTACCCGGTCGTCATCGCTCAGAGCGTTGCGTTTGAGTAGGTAATAGGTGGGCGGGAAAAATAATTCTTTTCTTGCTAGATGAAAAAGGGGGACGCAAAACGAGGGACTTGAACCTGACGTTTGGAATATAACGAGCGTGCCAAAATTCGTTGGTGGCGTCGTACATCAATAGTCGTTGCGCCGATCGGCTGTGATGTTTTCAGTAAACAGTCTGACGACAGCTAAATCAATTATAGTGGCGACGAGTGTGCAATGTCTGAGCGGTACAAACATTATAACTGTTACTATTATTGTAAGTGCGAATGAAACGTCCTTCATAAGTATTCTATGTGTTTTTTTTTTGATTCAATGCGACCATTTATTATTAGACGTATGATTTTGCTAGTTGCAACTGAAACTGCACGACGCCAAAAATTGCAAAAAGTGTGTGTTTTTGTGGAGCGACTTTGAAGTAAATTATCAGAATTTTAATTTTGATCGGCTACCTGTTAGAGTTGGCATTCCTTAGGTTAGCATTCTTGGACGATATTGTATAACATTTAATATTCGGACCTCACTGATTTTCTTTGATTTTTTTTTATTATTTTATTAGTAAGGCTCAAATCTTGAATTGTTCTGCCAGTGCTAGCCACTGTTCTCCTTTTCGTCCTTTATCCGCTGCTTATCGGCAAAGTATATGTATTGTATTTACGCGTATAATACGCGTCAATCTTATGCTTGAAACCTGACGGCTGCGTCTCTGGACACGACTTGCTTTGCTTCTTCACTGTTCTCTCGACATCAGGTACATCAACCCCATCTCCTTCACCTCACCGCAGACGACATGCGTACCTCGACTGCCTTTTCATCTGCATAAATGAAGATTAGATACTCACGGTTATGCAACAAGCAGAGTTAAACAAAAGTAGTGTAAATTTCTGTTACTATGATGCACATAAATAGTAATCGTTAGAGTGTTTAAGACTGAGAAAGCAATTCCTCTCAAGTCCCAGTCGTCACCATCATTAAATAAGATTGGTTTAGAATGACCATGTCTGGTCCGAGGGCCGCACGTTGCACAGCACTGCTCTATGACTACTATTCCTGCTAAATTTCTGTTTAGGACCACTGTGCAATGCACACACATAGAAATTATAGCCAACTTTGGTATTTTTTACCGAAATCTCAACAGCTGATACGTTCGGTAAAATTTGGATTGTTAAATTTAATAATTTTAAAGCTAAAACGAAATCTCCACTTCAATTAAAATATTTCATTATTTGAACAAGATTAAACGAGTTATGAAATTATTTTTGAGCAAAATAGTCATTAAATAAAAGTTAAAGTTTTACCGAACGTTCAGCTGTTGAGATTCCGGTAAACAAAATTACCGAAGACGGCAATACATTTTGAGGGTGTACCACATGTAAAATTTCAACAAATTTGCTGCACTTTTTTTAAAGTGTTTCATGATAAGATTGATCTTTAAAAAGTTACTCTGTTTAACTTTGTCATGAAGCAAGTTTATATACGTAACAATAGACACCAGCTTAGGTCTGACCTTTGCTTAACATTAAAGTTCACGACCAGCTCTATTTAGCAAACACTTTCAATTGTTCTCAACCTTGTGTACATTCATTTCCGAGACAAAGTTTGTTCGCAATCAGCAATCAATTTGATACGGGGAAGTAAGTTGCCACTGACGGTTCACCCGATATGCCTGTCAAGAACCATTTCCCTCACTACTGACTGTAGGGCGCCTCGTAGATATTGAATAGCTACTTCGACGTTATATTGCCTTCAATTTGAGAAGATGACATCGATAAGTTTGGTTCAACAAAAGCGCACAACAGCGCACTGGAATAGCCTCTCCGAATGAATCTGTTTGACATCAACGACACTCTACTTACCATAGCTAGGCACGTACAAATTTAAATATAAACAGTCTTCGCTCTCAACTTTTAGATATGGAAGCAGTCTTTTCAGCTGATCGTATCTGCCTTTCGAGTAGTTGTTATTTACATTACTTAAGGTGGGAAGATTCTGCGGACAAACGGGTGACATTTTGATTGCCATCTTGAGTCCCGTCCACGGAATGGGGGCACTCGGTGGCATAAAGCGCCTCGAACCAACGGGTGCCTCGGCGTATGGAATGCCCAGATACTGGTCAACATTTTTCAACCCAGACTGAGGATGCATCACCCGCACAATGCCCTTGATTCGACCCTGTTTCACAGCTACCTCCCTCGTGTACGGTGTGCCATCGCGTGGATCGAAGCTTGGACTTTGTGAACGTTGAGCATGTTGTTTACGATATACCGCACTGCCGTACTGTTGCTGGTTCTGCATCCGATAGTCTCCAAATGGACCATCGTTGGCCATTGGTGGGAAAATTTCACTACCATCATGCGCTAGCAGGGCTGCGATAGACTTTTTCAAATATTCGCTTCTATCACTCACAAAATTCCCATAGCCATCCAAATTCTCGTCACTATCGGTCCTGGTTTCCACTTGCTGATAGGCCAAACTGAAGCACAGAACCAGGTTAATTAACACAACAAATAATTTCATTTTGTTTCACTGCTGGAGCCAACCGTTACACACCGAAACAGCATTGCTGTCGTAAACCAGCATTTCGTCGCAGTAAATTATTTACTATTTCCGTGAAACACTTCTCGTCGCTCTTAGAATGCATCGCACACTGTCGGCAAGATTTTCTTCACTCACTGTCAGTGCCGTGCACAGATTTCCTCACATTCCGCGGGCACTCGCTTGGCACTAAACTGGGAAAAATTAAAAGCATCTATATTATTCCGTTGCACTTCGGAGCTGTCGGTCGTTTCGTTGCTTTGGGACTCTTCTCATACACAACACGCATTTTCTTCGAAAGCAACGTCATTGTTGGAAGGAAGATAATTAAAATGTATGTGCCGGGGGGAATATGGATATCTTTTTAATCAGCGCGACGACATATGTTGGGAACTGTTCGGACTTGGACGAATTATGGGGAAACAGATTAGTATTGGTGTTGGTGTGATTTGCAACTGCAAGTAAGACGGAAGAGCGATTTCCGACAATCAAGATATCCCTTCATTTTAAAAATACAAAAAGACATGACGCAGTTTGCAAATTCATCTTCCCGGAATGAAAACAGTGATCGGTGGAATCACAATAACTCTGCACACCTATTTCAATGGCAACAAATTCAAGAGCTAGATTAGAATCATTCTTTTCGTAGAATTCAAATTCTAATCTTAACGTAGATTGATTAAACATACTGATTTTGTAATTGATCTTGAAACATATATAGGGGAGCTATAAATAATCAATTTAATAATGAACACAAACTTTCATATGCAGGACAGTCTATCCAAGTCCAAAAATGTCAATATTGTTTCATGAGCCAGGATTGCATTTAATCTATGCCTAATAAGATGAAATCTTCGCATTTTTTTTTTAATTTTGGTTTTTGAACTGAAAAAAAGAAGTGGAAGAATTCCGTAAATCTCCTCAATTTTGTTTTGTTTTTTTTGCATCCACGATCCACGATCTGTTTCTAATCTTAACGTTCACACGTTTCTTTTATAAAAGGGAAGTAGTCCAATTTGGGAGTTATAAAGCTTGAAATTCAGAGGAAATGTAGCCTATAACAAAGAATTATACAAAGTTTACTGGACTGGTAAGAGACTGGACAATGCGTACTACTGGTACCACAAGTACATGTAGGTAAAAAATAGCTCCCAATTACTGGTTTTTAGTATATTGTTCAGTAACTTCCATCCATACCTCCACGCGGTGCCAAATGGGGTACAGTAACCACAGGAAAGATATGGTAATCAGTTCTCGTGGGTTCTTGGTTGTAAACTGACTGAGAAATGAGGGCTCTCATGTTAGGATGATGTGGCTAATTCAACTCGAACTTCTGTAATCCTTATTAAGAGAGGCATAAAACAGCGTTTGCTCCCCATGTTAAGGGTGGTGTCTCCGTCTTCGTCTCCGAGAAAAAAAACAGAAATTTGGAGACGCATTATTACTGCTTACTACGAACTTCACCCATGTACTAACGTACGAAACGCTCATAAGACCGGTAGTTATCTACGGGCCCGGCACGTGAACAATGCTCGAGGGAACAGCTTCAACGCAGCATGCGTAATACCCGAAAACCACAGATCAATTGATTATTTTAAGCAATTCGACAGCATGACAACCCGAGCAGGAGAAAATAACTAATAAATACCTAATTTTGATCTGATACCAAATTTTGGTATTGACCAGCATGACATAAGAGGTAAAATACGAAAGAATAATACCAAAAAAATACATGCAACATACTTTGTAAATACCATAGGTTGATATTTGGATACCAAAACAATACCTGGGTGGTATTGTTTTGGTATTGCATTATCAGAATTTGGTATTGTGGAAACATTTTTTTTGAATTATTTTTTGGTATTTTACCTCTTATGTCTGGTGTTGTTTATTTTTTGAAGTTGACAAATTTCTCGACTTCATAGAGTATGATTGTTCTTGCCACACAATAATACTAATGCAAAAATGGCACAGGCTTAGAAGCTCTAATTTAACAACTGTGGAAGTGCTCAATGAACACTAAGTTTAGAATCAACGTGAATTTACTCTAAAGTTTTACTGGAAAAATTAACCGGCTCACAAAAAAAAAATGGTTCATGCTTACATAAAAATCGATTTTTATGATAAATCAAGTGCAGATTTATATACATCATGATATTTTTGCACACAATGGGGGGGGTCGGTAATGACTCGGCTAATAGTGAAAGAGAAAAATGCGACTTGTTTGCTCGTCATTTCAAGCAAGTGTTCAACGATTTCTCCGCTTCGCCAACACAAGTGCTGGATGCTGCTGTTGGGATGCCACGTGATGTGTTTAGTTTCGTTATTCCGCGCATTTCAGAAGACATGGTGATAGCCGCAACACGCAAACTGAAGCTCTCGTTCGCCTCCGGACCTGACGGCATTCCGTCATCAGTTCTAAAACGTTGTGTAGCCAATTTCTGCAAAATTATTAAAAGCCTCTCGGACTGCTGGGATCTCCAGAATATGTTAGGTATTTTTGCTGACTGGTGCTCAAGAAATTTTATGAGTCTAAGCATAGAAAAATGTAACATTATTTCCTATCACCGAAAAATCGAACCAATCATGTTTGACTATGTTCTCTACGGACGCTGTCTTGCTTGTGTAGAGCACATAAAGGATCTCGGCGTTACCTTGGATTGCAGACTCACTTTCAGAATCCACTACAATGACATCATTTCCAGAGCTAATCGACAATTGGGCTTTATTTTCAAAATTGCCGACGAGTTTCGTGACCCGCTATGTCTCAGGTCACTTTACTGCTCGCTTGTGCGATCCTTATTGGAGTCAAGTTCAGTTGTTTGGTGCCCTTTCCATGCTAGCTGGATCACTAGAATTGAATCCGTTCAACGCAAGTTTGTGAGATATGCTCTTCGTTTCCTCAACTGGCGTGACCCAACGAACTTGCCACCGTACGAGGAGCGTTGCCGTTTCCTGGGAATCGAGCCATTAGAGGTGAGACGGACGGTCGCTCAAGCTATGTTCGCTGGAAAGCTGCTTACAGGTGACATTGACTGCCCAACACTGCTGTCACAGCTAAATATGTATGCCCCTGAGAGGTCTCTTCGTCAACGCGACTTTCTGTTTTTGGAACCACGGAGCCGGAATTATACACAACACGAGCTAATTCGAGCAATCAGCCGGCAATTCAACAACTATTTTTATATGTTCGACTTCAATGTATCAGCTGACGTGTTTCGTCATCGGCTACTTGGCCTTTTCCGTACCGTTGACCGTAACTATTAAGTTTAAGTTTTATTCATTTAGACAGTAATTGTCAGTTGAAATTTTCAATAAACAATAAATAATTACTGACAAATGATTGAACATATTTTAAATATCATTGTCATCTGTCATTGAGCCAATGACAAATGCTGTTATGGCAATATATCCTAGAATTTGTGAAATTTATCATTGGATACTGATAAATATCATAAATTCTAGGTATAATCGTAGAGAAGTCACAATGTAAAAACTGTGCATTTATCACATGATCAACGAGGGTCCCAAAGCCACAAAACAACTGTTTTGTTCACCGACTTAACAAAACGCTACCTCCGTTAAATGTGTTAAAAATATGCGCGTATCCTATTCGAAAACACGAATTCTTCCCATATTTTCGCGTGTCTCATATGAGTTCTCTTTGCGTATATGTTCTGCTTCACTGTTGCTATTACTCGACGTAGTTTTCTACATTGGCACCTTTCCCGGCGTGCTACACACGTTCTTCATGCTTTTCTCTTATTTTTCACCGTCAGGGTTTCCACGTCACTTTGAGTTTATGTCTATCTTCACCAACGTTCTCCGCTCCTGTTACCCATCACAACAAACGCACCAACACAATTGCATCAGAGATCTGTAACGAAAAAATAAAAAGTAGAACAAATATTCAACAGCCGAAAATAAAACTGACTTAAAAACAAAAACACATGAAGAGGCAATAAGAAAAATGAGAAAAGTACACCCAGTAAAGCTAATCAGATGTTTACGTTTTTTGCAGCATTAGAGGCTTGTAAGAAAAATATTTCTAATCTATTTTTAACGCCCCTTCTTCTCGGCTTGGGGACCCGGTTTGTGTGGCATTTTCCGCACTCATTCGCGTGCCCGCGTTTTTTTCTTCATATTTTTTTTTTGTATTCAGCGGGGTGAGCGTATATGTATACAGTATTATTTATTTTGCTTAACACGATCGAATGTAGGTAGATATTCATGACGCCTGGTCACGTCGAAGCAGAAGGAATCCCACCGACCAACCGACGACAGAGAATCCAAGCCGGTGATGACGAATTAAACCACAGAGATGAACCGTATGAGTTACTATGGTTTCACATGGTGAATGACGGTGCATCTTTAATGTTGTGTTTGTTTGCATTGTGGTTGTATTTTAAGACCAAAAAAAATCTAAGTTGATGATGGTTTTCTGTTTGATGTTGAGAAACATTGTTGGATGGTTGATCGCAGAATAGTCGATTAATTCGATTGAATATCATACATATAAAAGAATTTTGTAAGGGAACAAATGATACGAGAAAACAATGGTGGGGTTGTGTACAAGACACGACCCCATGATTGGTGTAGACTACGTTATGCTGTTTAGTGAACTTCTCGCGCACTTTTCTTGATATTGATTTAATATACATACAGTAAAAGTAGGAGTAACTTTTCTCAAATCAAACGATTGTTTCAATAGGTAGGTGCTTAGAGCAACATTATTCGAAAATTAGGGGGATTCAATATTCAACTTCATAATTAGACAAAAAAAGCTCGTATACAGGTTCTCTACCTGTTAAATGATTTGATAGGAATCTTCATAGCCCGATGCGAAAATAAATGGAGGCGCGACAGCAGTGCTGTTTTCAAACATTACAGGCTACATATACGCAAACAGAACGATGTGCAACTAAATGCCCAGACAACCAGAAGTCGTATAACAATGAACAGACAGTATCATAAATTGCTACAGTTTAAGTCAAAATCACATATAAGAACGGCATACCTCGCATTATGTTTAAGTTAAATCGTATAGAATGCAAATTTCCGACTTATATCCGATGACTCATTTTTTCGTCGTACTGTATCACAAATTAAATCGGATGACATTGTAAGACTTTTCAAAATGAATTTGTTTTTACAGATTAAATCGCATATGATGTTAAATCAACTCGTTAACAATTAAATTAAAATATGCACGTATATGGCCTCCACTTTTGTACGTATAAGCCATTTCTTTGCATTCTATACGAATTGTTTGCTTGTATATATGTTTGTATATCTCGAAAACAGCATTGAATATACGTGCATTCTGGTTGTTTGGGTGGTTATCGATTATGACGTCTGGGTTAGGGATAACGTTTTTTTATTTTTTTCATGGAAAGCTTGAAAAGATTAACACTTTTATTTGTACGTTTTTCAAAAGTGTTTTATGAAAAATTTGATATTTTCCTATCGATTTGTGTACTTGGATTTTAATTTCATCCATAAATGACAAAGTTATAAGCGTTCAAAGCGTAACATTTTAACGTGACAGTCGTAACTTTAGATTTTCGATTAACTAGCTTCAAAAGCCATCCTGCGAGAAAATTTTTCATAATTTGAAATAAAAAACTCTTTATTTGAACTCATTTATATGCCTATATTATATTTATTTACAAAAAATGGACAGGACATCAACATCAAAATGGTCTAATTTGAGCACAAATGAGAATGATTTCCCATAACAAACAATTATGCAAAGTTTTGTGCAAATCGACGAAGGTCGATTCTAATCGATTTGTCATTTTGAGTGGAACTGCTCATTGAATGCCTATCATATCACTTTAACACTCTTTGGTCATTCGTGACTTGTCAAGGAATGAGATTTGAACTCGTCATTTAATCGTGAGAGTTGTGGATGTTAACCCCTGCATTCCCAAGCAACATTGCAAGTTTTATCAAGGTTTTATAGCATTCTACAAGTCTTAATCATGGTCTACAGAACCTTCATAAAACCAGAAATGTTAGTTGGGTTGTGCGATTATATTCTCGATTGTCTTAAATTGCTTGCCCAAGAGTAGTTGCGTCAAATAATTGTAAAATTGAGCGGTATTAAACAAAATTTCATCATAATTTAATATAGTTTAAACAATTTAAATCCAATCTTCCAGTTTCTAGTGATCTTTAAACGATGTTAAAATTTCCCAGGAAACTGTTGATAAAAATCAGTGTGATTTTTGAGCGTCCACTCAGTGACTGTTGGAAGATAAGTGATTTGTACAATTCCATTATTTGACAACAACGAATCTAAGCGACGCCGGTGGTGTAGTGGTAAGCTTGATCACCTCTCACCCCAGCAGGCCTGGGTTCAATCCCAGTCGGCGCCGCCAGGATGTTCTGAGGCATAACATCTCTGATCACGCCTTCCTTCGGAAGGGAAGTAAAACCGTTGGTCCCCGGTTCATGAGGTGGTAGGTAGGTAGGGTGCAGGTGTGGGAGCTGCCTCCCTGTCGTCGGTAGCATTGGTGCTCAGCACGGAAAATAAGATCGACGGAAAACAAATCAAGGAGAAAAAAAACAACGAATCTACTTAATAAAATAATGATGGTATGCTTTTGTAGTTCATAATAAATTCTCTGTACAGCTACATTTTCAACCGGGTGTGATATACACAGTTAAAATTATTTTGTAATTTTACACGAATTTCTATGCACATAAAAAGAGCATGCATATTCATGTAAAATTAAATTGGTTTTTAATTTACACGGCTTGAAATTTACATGCATGTAATATTAAACTTCACTAGAATTTTACATGGATGACTAAAGATGGGCTCATCTTGTAATTTTACAGGACATTTAAAATTATACGCAACCATCGTTGGGCTCGTTGTCTTTTTGTAGAATCTCTATTGCGGGAACGAAATTGCAATGTTCCCGGAAAACATTTTCAGATGTACGCTGATCTAAATATGCCAGCAGATCCGAACATGACATCGAAAATGTTACGGTTGCACAATGTGTGACCTTCATGATGTTTTGATGCATGTTTTGCCACCAGTTTAGCACTATTTTTCACAATTTTTCACGTGGTAACGAACAATGAAAAGCTGATTTCTAAAATAAAAATGGCACTCCGGAAAAGCACATTCCATAGAACTGAGCTCACAAAACTTACAATACAACATTTTCCACTAAAGAAATGACTCGAGCTATATCCGGCGGAGAAAAAAAAAACTGATCGCCATATTAGCTTCCTCAATTTGTTTGATGATTTAAATTTACACGAGCATGTAAATGTATAGGTTCAACCGTTGAAAATTCAATGTTCTTCAATAAGCTTTCACATCGCGTGGTGATATTACACTACAAGTGGAAATTAATCGAATAAACGTGTAACTTTATAAGTTTCATCATGTTCGTTTGATGTGCATGATTTTTAATGTAAAATTGAATTAAAACATAGTTTTTTTTTATCTAGTTCGTTTATTTGGAAGGCTCAATCGCGTTAGCTTTACGGAGCCGATAATTCATTGTTCACTGTGTGTAACAAAATTCACTTAATTCTATGTCTAGTAGGAGTTGGGCCGATTACTCGCGGCTTACTCGAGGTTAGAAGGGTACATTTTCGAAGGATAGGATCAGGGGAGGAGCTTGGGGTAGGGTTTTGTTGTCTCATCAGAGCGTTGTCGCTAGTATGAACGGTAGTGCTGTTCTAGCTTCGTCCGGAGTTCGACCGGCTATGGTGACCAGTGGGCGACGATGAGACTCATCGAGACGGGGGGACAAGACAAACAAAAACTAATAAAGAGAGACAAAATACAAAAGGAATTAAATTCTTATACTCGACATTTGAAGAAAAACATAAACGGACTGCATATAGCAGAGATCACGGGTTGCCAACACGTCTCTGATAGGAACATAGGGTTGTCTTCCTTGGGCCTCGAGGGTATTCAAAAGTCGCTCTCTGGCGGCGTCATTATCCGTACATTGCCAAACTGCGTGTTCGATGTCATCGTAACCGTTTCCACACCGACAGATGTTGCTGTCCACGAGGTTTATTCTATTGAGATGAGCATCTAGCGAGTAGTGGTTGGACATAAGTCTACTCATCACGCGAATGAAGTCACGACTTAAGCCCAAGCCTTTAAACCACGCTCTCGAAGAAACATTAGGAATAATTGAATGTAACCACCGTCCAAGATTTCCAGTGTCCCAATCGGTTTGCCAACTCGAAAGGGTACTCTGACGCACTAAATGGTAAAATTCATCGTGTGAAATTTGCCTGTCATACAATTCGCCTTCCTGCGCGCCCACCTTTGCGAGAGAGTCCGCCTTCTCATTGCCTGGGATTGAGCAATGTGAGGGGACCCATACAAAGGTAATCATATATGATCTTTCGACCAGCACACACATCTGCTCCCTTACCTTTGAAAGGAAATAAGATGAGTGCCTACCTTGTTTCATCGACCGAATAGCCTCAATCGAACTGAGACTATCCGTGAAGATGAAGTAATGGTCTGCGGGCATGTTGGAAATCATCCCCAATGCGAAGTTGATTGCTGCCAGCTCAGCAACAAAAACGGAACAAGGTTCCTGAAGTTTGCGGAAGGCGCTAGAGTTTTCATTGAAGACACCGAAGCCAGTGGATCCATTGAGACGGGACCCGTCTGTAAAATATCTTTTCATGCAATTGACTTGTTGGTACTTTTCAGTAAAAATACGCGGAATAATAATAGGTCGAAGTTGATCGGGAATCCCATGAGTTGCTTGTTTCATGGTCAGATCATATTCAATTGAGGAACTGCGATTGGTGAAGTGAACACGGTCTGGAGTATAACAAGGAAGACACATATCTGATGATATGTAGTGGTGGTAGATTCTC